CAGCATCATCATCATCATCATCATCATCATCATCATCATCATCATCATCATCATCATCATCATCATCATCATCATCATCATCATCATCATCATTCTAAGCATCACCATCATCATCATCATCATCATCATCATCATCATCATCATCATCATCATTAGCATCATCATCATCATCATCATCAGCATCATCATCATCAGCATCATCGCCATCACCATCATCATCATCAGCATCAACATCAGCATCATCATTAGCATCAACATCATCATCTTCATCATCATCATCATCAGCAGCAGAAGCATCAGCATCATCATCAGCATTAGCATCATCATCATCATCAGCATCATCATCAACATCATCATTTTCTTCTTCATCATCATCATCTTCATCATCAGCATCATCATCAGCATTATCATAATCGTCATCCTCATCAGCACCACCACCACCACCACCATCATCATCATCATCATCAGCATCATCATCAGCATCATCATCCTCATCAGCGTCATCAGCAACATCAGCATTATCATCAGCGTCAGCATCAGAATCAGAATCAACATCATCATCACCATCACCATCATTATCATCATCAGCAGCATCATCATCATCAGCAGCATCAGCATCAGCATCAGCATGATCATCATCATCCTCATCCTCATCCTCATCATCATCATCATCATCATCATCATCATCATCATCATCATCATCATCATCGTCATCAGCATCATAATCATCATTATTGTCCTCCTCCTCCTCCTCCTCCTCCTCCTCCTCCTCCTTGTCATCCTCCTTCTTGTCCTCCCCCTCCTCTTCCTGCTCCTCCTCCTCCTCCTCATCCTCCTCCTCTTCCTCCTCCTCCTCCTCCTTCTCCTCCTCCGCAGGGAGCGCGGAAGCGCAAGGGAGGGCGCCCAGGGCGCGCACACATGGGGAGGGAGCGTGCGCTCGAAAATCTAGAGGGATCGCGGAGAACCCATACGCCAGGCTAAGACCCCTCCTCCTCCTCCTCCTCCTCCTCCTCCTCCTCCTCCTCCTCCTCCTCCTCCTCCTCCTCCTCCTCTCCTCCTCCTCCTCCTCCTCCTCCCCTCTCCCCCCCTCCCTCCCCCTCCTCCCTCCTCCTCCTCCTCCGCCTCCTCTTCCTCCTCCTCCCCTCCTCCTCATCTCATCATCATCATCATCCTCCTCCTCTTCTACTCACTCCTCCTCCTCTCCTCCTCCTCTCCTCTCCTCCTCCTCCTCCTCCTCCTCCTCCTCCTCCTCCTCCTCTCCTCTCTCTGCTCCTATCCCTCCTCCTCCGCCTCCTTCGCTCCTCCCCTCCTCCTCCTCCTCCTCCGCCGCCTCCTCCTCCTCCCCTCCACTCTCCTCCTCTCCTCCTCCTCCTCCTCCTCCTCCTCCTCCTCCTCCTCCTCCTCCTCCTCCTCCTCTCCTCCTCCCCTCCTCCTCCTCCTCCTCCTCCTCCTCCTTCCTCCTCCTCTCCTCTCTCCCTCCTCCTCCTCATCCTCCTCCTCCTCTCCTCCTCCTCCTCCTCTGCCCTCCTCCTCCTCTCTCCTCTCCTCCTCCTCCTCCTCCTCCTCCTCCTCTCCTCCTCCTCCTCCTCTGCTGCTGCCCCTGCCCCTGCCCCTCCTCCTCCTCCTCCTCCTCCTCCTCCTCCTCCTCCTCCTCCTCCTCCTCACCCTCCTCATCCTCCTCATCATCCTCCTCATCATCCTCATCATCCTCATCATCCTCATCATCCTCATCCTCATCCTCAGCATCAGCATCAGCATCATCAGCATCATCAGCATCAGCATCATCATCATCATCATCATCATCATCATCATCATCATCATCATCATCATCATCATCAGCAGCAGCATCGTCATCATCATCCTCATCATCATCATCATCATCATCAGCAGCAGCAGCATTATCAGCATCATCAGCATAATCAGCAGCAGCAGCAGAAGCATCATTAGCATCATCATCAGCAGCATCATCATCATCAGACACAGCAGCAGCACCACCACCACCACCACTACCACATCATCATCATCATCATCATCATCATCATCCTCATCATCATCATCATCATAATCAACATCATCAGCATCATCATCATCATCATCATCATCATCATCATAATCAACATCATCAGCATCAGCATCATCATCATCATCATCATCATCATCATCAGCATCATCATCTCATCATCATCATCATCATCATCATCATCATCATCATCATCATCATCATCATCATCATTCACATCATCATCATCATCATCATCATCATCATCATCATCATCATCATCATCATCATCATCATCATCATCATCATCATCATTACATCATCACAGCATCATCATCATCGGCATCGTCGGCATCATCATCATCATCATCATCATCATCATCATCATCCATCAGCAGCATCATCATCAGCAGCAGCATCATCAGCAGCATCATTCATCATCATCATCATCATCATCATCATCATCATCATCATCATCATCATCTCATCATCATCATCATCATCATATCATCATCATCATCATCATGACATAACATCATCATCATCAGCATCAGCATCAGCATCATCATCAGCATCAGCATCATCATCATCATCAGCAGCAGCAGCATCATCGTCATCGTCGTCATCATCATCATCATCAATCATCATCATCATCAGCATCAGCATCAGCATCAGCATCATCATCATCAGCATCAGCATCAGCATCATCATCATCATCAGCATCAGCATCAGCATCATCAGCATCATCATCAGCATCATCATCATCATCATTGCCATCATCATCATCCTCATCATCATCCTCATCATCAGCATCATCATCAGCAGCATCATCATCACCACCACCACCACCATCATCATCATCAGCATCATCATCAGCATCATCATCATAATCATCATCATCACCACCACCGCCACCATCATCATCATCATCAACATCATCATCATCAGCAGCATCATCATGGGCATCATCATCATCATCATCACCATCATCAGCAGCAGCATCACCATCATCAGCAGCATCACCAGCATCAATATCAGCAACAGCATCATCATCATCAGCATAATCATGATCATCATCAGCAGCAGCAGCATCACGATCATCATCATCAGCATCACCATTATCAGCAACATAATGAACATCAGCATCAGCATCAGCATCATCATCATCAACAACAACAGCAACTACAACACCAACAATATCAACATCATCATCATCAAAACAATAGCACCATTAATATCGCTCCCAAGAGGCCCTGTGCGCGGAAGGGGGATGCGCACGCAAAGGAGGCGAGCCCCCCACACCGCATGGCATCTGGACGGGGGGAGCAGATCATGTTGCGCGGTCGTCGACGAAGAGAGTATGAGGGGAGGAGGAAAGCCGACGCTGGAAGAGGAAAGGGTGGACGGGGTGAGAAGAGGAGAAGGAGCCGCACCAGGGGGCCGAGGGTCGTAGCTGGAGGAGAAAAAGAAGGGAGATACGAGGGAGGTGGGAGAGCGGTGAAAGGGCGAGCGGGGGACGAGGGATAAGATCACAGGGAAAGCGCACCAGCCTCCATCCTCTTCCAGGATCTTTATATACCTGCAGCGGGCGCTTCGCAACCAACTCTTCTGTCCTCTTCGACCAGTAACAGTTCGACCATACGAAAGAGCATGTGCAGAGCGTGCTGAAGCACGTGGCCTTACGATCACTCCCCGCAGAATCCCACCTGCACTTTACGACGTAGGTTGTTTAGCGAATTCGTTCTTCCAGCCCCGTTCCTCGCCTTCGGGGAGGGACACGTCACTGCTCTGTATAGTAAATGCCCCCCCTTCCGCACCTGACCCCCAGCCAATATAAAACCATGACGACGCCGCAGCATCCCCTGACAATGATTGCTAAATGTAGCAAAATCTAGAATCTGGATCGCGCGCGGGACCAGAACGATCAATTTCCATGGTGTTGGGTCCAAGCGCCATGCAACGGAAGCGCGGGCGTGCCCCGCACGGCGCTCGCATAGCCGGCTCGGTCGAGCTAGGCAGCAGCTAACGCGGCGTACTGTTCCCCGCTTAATAGACATCAGCGCGAGTGGTGGCACCCGCCGCCGCCGGCGCCAATAGCAAGCGAATCAAAACGCAACGCAACCGCGCTGCGGGCGGAATCGGCCGCATCTGGTGCGCTAGGCACCCCGCAAAGCGATTGCGGAGCCGCGGAGGCGAGGCAGCAGAGTAACACGACTGGCCTGAAAAGGGCGGTCGGCCTGGAACGGTAATGGCGAATTAACAAGCGAATTTGGGAAAGCGGGCGGCGGGCCAGGGGGCCAACGACCTGTCCAGAAGCGGCCACCCTTGGTGCGCTGGGCACCTACGAAAGCGACGGTGCCACTGTCAGAACGCGAGGCCCCCGATTTGTTTGAATAACCCCGAACGCGAGGCGCGAGGAAAAGGGGGAGACCCGCGGGAAGAGGGGGAGAACGAGCGAGACCACATACACATATACACGCTTTGTATTTCAAGCCGGCGGCGCAAAGGGACCTCAGGCGCGGTCGGCATGTGGAGGTGCCAACTGCGAGCCAGCGCGCCATGATGAAGGAGCCCAGTCACGGCCATGCAGACGCAAAGCGCTGCAAGGCCAAAGTGCAACGGCCAAAACAACCGGGGAAAGGAAGCTCCACACACAGACACACAAACGTACACACACACACCTTTCTGGTCGTCGCGGGCGAGAGCACCTCCACGCTGCCCAGCCCGCGCGCGGAGGATGACGCGAAAGCCCCGCAGCCACAGAGACGAAAGAAAAAAAAAAGTCGGCCGGCGTCGTCGTCGCTGTCGTCGTCACCGTCGTCGTCGTCGCCGCCGCCGTCGTCGCGACCGTCGTCGAAGGTCTGATGTCGAGGCTCGTGGACGGGGCTCCAGGGACCTCTGCAGGGGCCTCGCCGTCGTCTTCGTCGTTGGCGCCCCTCACGAAGCAGGGGGGGGGGCACTGTATTTTACGCACCGACGTCGAGGTCGCCACCGAGTCGCCCAAGGGCGGCTCGGGCAAGGCGCGGGAGAGGCGCCGCGAGGCTCGCGGCAGGCCCAGCCGTGGAGCTGGCGGGCCGAACCCGACAAACACGTCTTCTTTCTTGATGCGCGGGCCGAGAGCGCACCTCTGCCGGTCGAAGCTCAGCGGGCCGCGCACAGCTTGAGTTAACAAAGAGGGGGGGGCAGGAGGAGGGGGAGGAGGAGGAGGAGGAGGAGGAGGAGGAGGAGGAGGAGGCGGAGGAGGAGGAGGAGGGGCAGGAGGAGGGGCCTCGGCCGGGGCCTGAAAGCACACCTCGCGCGCAGTGGCCAGCGGCGGCGGCGGGCGCGAGGAGGCCACCCCACGAGGCTGGACCACACGCAGCCAGAAGCCCCGACCGAGCGCGAGCGGCACGGGAGGCCCGGACGACGAGGGCGCCAGGCGGCGGAGCTCCAGGCGCCACAGCAAAAACTGCCAGGGCAGAGCGGGGCGGCGGGTGCCTTGGCGAGAGCCGCTGGGGGATCGGCGGTCCGCGCAAGGTTGCACCCAGGCAGACGGAGGTGCCAATTGCAAGCGCAAATGTGACCGAACGCGCCATGACGAAAGATCCCAGTCACGGCCATGCAGATTAGTGGTGAGAAACGGGAGGCACTGCAATGCCAAAATGACAAACACACACACACACACACACACACACACGCGCGCGCGCACACAAACACGCACACACACACACACACACACACACACACACACACACACACACATATATATATATATATATATAATACGCACACCACATACGCACACACACACACACACACACACACACACACACACACACACACACACAACACACACACACACACACACACACACACACACACACACACACACACACACACACGCGCGCACGCACGCACGCACGCACGCACGCACGCACGCACGTACGCACGCACGCACGCACGCACGCGGCGCGCGCACACGCACACAGACTGTACCACCACACCACCCAAAAACATGTATGTTACCATCCCATTCGTGCGGGTATCTGCACCCCTGCCGAAATTTCTTGAACGCGTCCGTTGATCGTTGATCCCTTGCCAGGGTTGCCGACACCACGATGCCCTGACATCATCCCTCTACTTCCTTCTTCCAAAATTTCTCCTGCCCTTTCCTCCTTCCCTCTCCCTCCCTCCCCCATACTTCCCTCCGTCATCCTCCCTGGACACACGGAGTAACCGGGCACCGTTTGAGGAAGTTCTTGTCCGAGCACTCCTGGACTGCCTGAAGGATAGACGCATGAAAACGCTGTGGGGATCTCATGGTAACGCTGGAAACAAGGGAGAGGGGGGAGGAAGGAGAAGCAGAAGCTGGCGCCGGCCAGGAACACGATACCAGCAGGCGATACTGCGAACGCAGGCAGGGACACTTGTGGCACGATTCTTCACATGAGAGGCCACTCGACGATGAAGAGTAGCCCATTGCGCACACACAGTACGCCACATGACAGGTACGAGAAGGGGAAGGGAGAAGGAGGAAAGGCGGAGCAGAGGAAAAGGAAAGAGGGGGGGGAGCGGGGGACACCCCTCCCAATGGGTTTCACCTCCCTACTCCCTCAACCCCTCCTCCTCCCCACCCATCCGCCCCTGACTCTCACTCACACTCCCATCCCATCCCTCCTGTCCTTCCTTCCCCTCCCCGTCATTGCTCATCCCCCTTATCTCGGACATGTCATCTCCCCCCCACCCACCCCCGACTCGGCCTCGAAGTCGATGTCCTCAATCTTCACCTGGCGGAAGCACATTTTAGTCCCGCCGCGGCCGTTCCTGCGCACAGTGGCGAGCTGTCAGCTATCGATGAAGCTGATGGTCCAAGGACATCTGGCAACTGCTATGCGTCACCAGTCAGCAGCAGCATTAGCATCATTAGCATCATCATCATCATCATCATCATCATCATCATCATCATCATCATCATCACCATCACCATCACCATCACTATCACCATCACCATCACCATCATCATAAGCATCATCAGCATCATCAGAAACAACAACAACAACAAGGATAGGGATCTTCCCTGGCCCCCGGCGCTCGGGGGACGTGCGGAGCTCTCCACCAGGGGGGGGCAGGAGTCGTCCCCGGCCCCCGGGGCCCCCCAACCCCCCCCCCCCCCCAACAACACAACAACAACAACGGACCGGTTCAAATAAAAAAAAACCTTCTAGCTCTATTAACACTTTACACCGGACTCGCTTCGCTTACTTGCGTGCGCGCGTAAGCGAAGCGAGTCCTGGTGCCATCCCTAATAGGATCCTATTAGAGGTGGATCCATCCCTAATAGGATCCTATTAGAGGTGGATCCATCCCTAATAGGATCCTATTAGAGGTGGATCCATCCCTAATAGGATCCTATTAGAGGTGGATCCATCCCTAATAGGATCCTATTAGAGGTGGATCCATCCCTAATAGGATCCTATTAGAGGTGGATCCATCCCTAATAGGATCCTATTAGAGGTGGATCCATCCCTAATAGGATCCTATTAGAGGTGGATCCATCCCTAATAGGATCCTATTAGAGGTGGATCCATCCCTAATAGGATCCTATTAGAGGTGGATCCATCCCTAATAGGATCCTATTAGAGGTGGATCCATCCCTAATAGGATCCTATTAGAGGCGGATCCATCCCTAATAGGATCCTATTAGAGGTGGAGCCATCCCTAATAGGATTCTATTTGAAGCGGAGCCATCCCTAATATGATTCTATTTGAGGCGGATCCATCCCTAATAGGATCCTATTAGAGGTGGAGCCATCCCTAATAGGATTCCATTAGAGGTGGATCCATCCCTAAAAGGATCCTATGAGAGGTGGATCCATCCCTAATAGGATCCTATTAGAAGTGGATCCATCCCTAATAGGATCCTACTAGAGGTAGATCCATCCCTAATAGGATCCTATTAGAGGTGGATCCATCCCTAATAGGATCCTATTAGAGGTGGATCCATCCCTAATAGGATCCTATGAGAGGTGGATCCATCCCTAATAGGATCCTATTAGAGGTGGATCCATCCCTAAGAGGATCCTACTAGAGGTGGATCCATCCCTAATAAGATCCTATTAGAAGTGGAGCCATCCCTAATAAGATCCTACTAGAGGCGGAGCCATCCCTAATGGGATTCTATTTGAGGCGGATCCATCCCTAATAGGATCCTATTAGAGGTGGAGCCATCCCTAATAGGATCCTACTAGAGGCGGAGCCATCCCTAATAGGATTCTATTTGAGGCGGATCCATCCCTAATAGGATCCTATTAGAGGTGGAGCCATCCCTAATAGGATTCAATTTGAGGCGGAGCCATCCCTAATAGGATCCTATTAGAGGTGGAGCCATCCCTAATAGGATTCAATTTGAGGCGGAGCCATCCCTAATAGGATTCTATTTGAGGCGGATCCATCCCTAATAAGATCCTATTAGAGGTGGAGCCATCCCTAATAGGATTCTATTTGAGGCGGAGCCATCCCTAATAGGATTCTATGTGAGGCGGATCCATCCCTAATAGGATCCTATTAGAGGTGGAGCCATCCCTAATAGGATTCTATTTGAGGCGGATCCAGCTATGATAGGATCCTAGTAGAGGTGGAGCCATGCCTACTAGGATTCTATTAGAGGTGGAATCTCTGGAATCCCCAGGAATCTCTAAAACCCCCAGGGAATCTCTGGAATCCCTAGGAATACATTGAATCCCTAGTAATCCCTGGAATCCCTAGGAATCTCTGGAATCCCTAGGAATCGATGGAATCCATAGGAATCTCTGGAATCCCTAGGGTTCTCGGGAATCCATAGGAATCTCTGGAATCCCTAGGAATCTCTGGAAGCCCTAGGAATCTGTTGAATCCCTAGGAATCTTTGGAACCCCTAGGAATCTATTGAATCCCTAGGAACCTCTGGAATCCCTAGGAATCTCTGGAATCCCAGAGCTGCGGGGGAGTCTTTGGAATTCCTATGGATCCTAAAGTTGAACAGAAATTAATAGAATTCCCATGAATTTTAAATATTCTTAGAAATTCTCAGAATTCCTAGGCATCCTAGAGATTCCTAGGAATTCCTAGGAATGCTCGAGATTCCTACGAATTCCTAGAACTCCTAGAGATTCCTAGGAATTCATATGATTCCTAGGAATTCCAAGAGATTCATAGGAAGTCCTAGAATTCCTGGGGATCATCAAGATTCATATGAATTCCTAAAATTCCTAGGAGTCCAAGAGATTCCTAGGAATTCCTAGGAACCCTTAAGATTCCTATGAATTCTTAGAAACCTTGGGAATCCTAAAGATTGCTAGGAATTCATGTGTATCCTAAGAATTCCTGGAGATCCCTGGGAATTCCAGGAGTTCCTGGGAATCCTAGAGATTGCTTGGAATCATACAGATCCCTAGGAATCCGAAAGATTCCTAGGAATCCTTTTGATTCCTATGAACCCTGGGGATTCCTAGAATTCCTAGGAATCCTACAGATTCCTAAGAATTTATAGAAGTCATAGGGATCCTTTATAGGAGTCCTCGAGATTCCCAAGAATTCTGAAAATTCCTAGGGTTCCTGGAATTCCTAGGAATCCTAGAGGTTCTCAGGAATTCGTTGAATTCTAAGGAATCCGAGAGCTTCCAAGGAATTCATAAACTCCTAGGAATCCAAAATATTCAAAAGGAATTCCTAGGATTCCTATGAGTCCTCGAAATTCCTAGGAATTCCTAGAATTCCTAGGGATTCCTGAGATTTCCTAGGATTCCTAAAGATGAATCGAGATTCCTAGGAATTCATAGAATGCCTACGAATCCTAAAGATCCATAGGAATCCTAAAAATTCCTATGCAAATCACATACGGCCTGTATGGGATCCTACGCAGGTCCCGCACGGCCTTTGTATGGGATCACATACAGAGCCCAGACGGCCTGTATGGGATCCCGCACAGATCCCATACAGCATGTATGGGAACCGATACAAATCCCATACGGCCTGTATGGGACCCCACACAGATCCCATACGGCCTGTATGGGATCCACACGGATCCGTATAAAATTCCGATGGAGGCCTATATAGAATTCGTATGGAGGGTTATACAATTCCGATGGAGGCCTATAGAATTCCTATGGGGAGCGATAGATTTCCTATGGAGGCCGATATAGAATGCCTATGGAGGCCTATAGAATTCCTATGGGGGGCCTATAGAGTTCCGATGGAGGCCTATAGAAATCCGATGGAGGCCTATATAGAATTCCTATGGAGGCCTATAGAATTCCGATGGGGGCCTATATAGAGTTCCCATGGAGGCCTATAAAAGTCCGATGGGTGCCTATAGAATTCCTATGGAAGCCAATAGAATTTGTATGGGGGCCTATGGGATTCATATGGGGGCCTATAGAACTCCTATGGATGCCTATGGAATTCGTATGGAAGCCTACAGAATTCCTATGGGGACCTATATAGAATCCCTATGGATGCCTATAGAATTCCTATGGAGGCCGATATAACTCCTATGGTGTGACATCTAGAATCCCTATGGTGACCTATAGAATGCCTATGGGGGGCCCTATTGAATTCCTATGGACCAACACAGCCGTGGCAGGGTCCGTATCGGGGTCCACACAACTGTATGAGGATATCTATAAGGATCCATACAGCTGTGGTCCGATCCCTACAGGGCCCGATGCAGCTGTGGTTTGATCCCTATAGGGGTCCACACAGCTGTGGTAGGATCCCTGTAAGGATCCATACAGATGTGGCACGATCCCCATCGGGAGCCATACAGATACAGCCTGCTCCCTGTAGGGATCCATACAAACGTGGTAAGATCTAGGGACCGATACAGCTGTGGTAGGACGCCTGTAGGGATGCTCAACATCTGTGGTAGGATCCCTTTAGGGATCCATACGAATATAATTGAATCCCTATAAGGACCGATGCAGCTGCGGAAGGATCCCTATAAGGACCCATACAGCTGTAGAGCGACCCCTATTACGATCCATACAACTGTGGTTGGATCCCTATAGGGATCCCTACACCTGTCGTAGGATCCCTAGACGGATCCACGCGGCTCTGGTAAAATCCCTAAAGGGAGTCACACAGCTTTGGTAGCACCCCTATAAGGTTGAGTGTCTGGGGGGGCGGGGGCGCGGGGACGTAGGGGCGTGGGGGGGAGCGCCGGGGCCCCAGTGGAGGACTCCATCAAACCTCAGTGAATTGCGAGGAAGTCTCGAGCGGGAGCCGTCGGCGTTGTTGTTGTTTTGTTGTTGTTGGGGGGGGGGGGGGGGGGGGCGCGCCGGGGCCGGCGCCCGCTCCTATTCAACAACAACAACAACAACAACAACAACAACAACAACAACAACAACAACAACAACAACAGCAACAGCAACAACAACAACAACAACAGTAGCAGCAGCAATAACTACAGCAACATCAACATCATCATCAACATCGTCATCATCATCACCAGAAGCATCATCATCACCTCCTTCCCTCCTTCCCTCCCTCCGCACCTCCTTCCTTCCCTCAAGAAAGACAGGCCTATTGGCGCCCAAAACGACCCGGCAGCATTCAAGAGGCTTCGAAGGCTGCAGTGGTACCTCGAAACGCTTACAAGAGGCCCCCAAAGCAAGCACCACACTCTCGACAAGCAGCCAAGGCAGCCCAAGAGACTCATAAGATGGCTGATGAGGCCAGGAATTCCTCCGAAAGGGCCCCGAACATGCCAAAGAGGCCTCGACAAGAGCTCAGAGAGGCCACCGAGAAGGCC